CTAGCTTTTATTATCTAAGATGAGAACCCAAAGGGACAAGTCATTCACACAACCAGTTAACAAAATTACCACTAAATAACCGGCCTGAAATTTGATTTCAAGGTACATTCGTGCAGCAAACTCCATACATATACTGCAAAGCAATCAAATTATGCTAAGCTTTCCTGCCAACAACCTTTGGCACAGCTTCAACTAACGATGTATGGTGACTCATAGTGGAGCCTTGTGCACTTTGGTAGTTTGACACTGATGCAGCCTGTACAGATTATAAAACAATAAAGCACAATAATAATAATCCTCGCATTTGATACAGAGCCTTATCACGTCCTTGAGACATCTCAAAGCACTTCACAGGATAAACTATAAAGTGAAGCGACTGTGTATTTTATACAGTAAACAAAGTCACATAGATACAGTCAAACCTGTCTTCAACAACCCCTCAGCCACCTGGGCCAAAGTGGCCTTTATATGAGGGTGGGTCTGAATAAAGGTTCATTGGTGTGCGAACCGGGCTGTTCCAGGTTCGCACACCCTGTATTGACTGTATTCCATTTTGTCCCTTAACATTGAACGTGTTAATAACCTTAACCTTAATGGAGGAATTTGGTTTCCTCCATTGGTTATGTGAGTGACTTTTAAATGCAGGCAGAGAAGAAGAAGAAGAAGAAGAAGAAGAAGAAAAAAAACAGATCAACATTTACACAGCGGAGTTAATCTGTCACTCGAGGCCACCGAGGGAGAAAGCAAATTAGAAAAAGAATTACATATTACAGAAAGTCAAATAAATGGGCTGCCTCAGACAATTGACATAATGACAAAATGAAAGTTGCTGGAGCAACAATTAAAGGAAAAAAAAAATCTGGTGAACGTGAAATTACAAGCTGCAAAGTAGGCCATGGACACTGGAGGTGCAGTTGCAGCCGTGATTCTGCCCCCAAGAAGTAACTAGCTGCCTTTTAAGAAAAAGTATGATTTAGAGATTGTCGTTTTGTACCGTGGTTGGAGTTGTCAGGCTCCAGTGATGCATTCCAAAGCTTCTTTAGGGCAGAATGATAGAAGTTTATTACAATACCCGTGTTTTCACTATAAATCAACGCTGATTCCGAGATAAATGGAGGCACATTCTCTGAAAACACATCCAAAATTTCACACTGTAAAACCACGAAAGGAATCTGCGTTGTACTGTATCATGTTGAATCATACCAGTTTCTAGTTGGACCCTATTCTGGAACATTGCCTTCGCATTTCTGAGTTGACGTCTGAGTTTGTTGCTTGACAGTAGCGGAGCACAATATTCAGACGGGGGGAAGGGGGAGGTGACTGTAGGCACGCTTGAATTATGTTAAATATAATAGCCTGCATTTGATGCCACTTCGTACATCAAATGCATGTTATTATATCATGGATTACCGTATAGTTTTGGACGTAACGTAATTGTGGCATTTCAAAGAAATAATACATCTCAGAATTCACAAAACTTTCACAAAGTGGTCAAACTCGCTTGTGCATTTGAATATTTTAATTCCTGCATCTGTGCAACAACAACAATTTGCACATATATATATATATAGTGTCACTCAAGTAAGACTTCAAGTCAGTAGCTCATCAAAATTTTGTTTAAAAATGGTGAATTATCTAATGTTAGTCTTAAAGACCCGTTTTGTGGATTGCAGTTCATGCAGAATGTTACGCTTAAGGTAAGTGGCAGGTTATCAGAAGTGAAACGGAACTCCGAGATGCTATCCTGCACGAAAGGGGCTTATAAAAATGCAAGTTGTTGTTGTTGGATGATACCATTTGCAGAAAAATCGACTTGCAACCAGTTTGGTTTCACAGTGGTTAAGTTACACGTACAGAGTGTTAAGTTTCCTTATTCATTAGATTCTCATGTTCGTATTCTAATTCATTACGCACAAGGTCTTCGAGATCTGTCACTGAATTATTTTGTGCCTTTTATTAAAAGCTGTTGCAGCGTCATCTTGCTGTGCCCAGTAACTAATGCAACTTGACAACAACAAAACAAGACAGCAGTGTGGTGGGGCCTGGGATTACACACAAGGCAGCCGAGCCTACTCCATCTCCTGGAGATATTATTCAGTAGATCCTAACGCCAGTTAATGTACATCTGCACAATTTGCAAGGTGATTTAATAACCTTTGGATCACTGTAGATAATAATAATAATCTTGCATTTGATATAGCACCTTATCGCATCTTTCAGACATCTCAAAGCTCTTCACAGGATATACTGTAAGGTATAGTGACTGTATGTTTTGTGGGCGAAACGCGGCAACCAATTGGATATAGCAGTGTCCCACAAACAGTTGTGGATTGAGTGACAAAATTATTATTATTATTTTGTTTTTGAAGGGATTATTACCCCCGGAAAAGCAATCCACCAATCGACTCACAAACGGGTTCCTACATGTGTTGATGTGTCCTGCGCCTAATTGGAGAGAGTCCAGCGATGTGAGATGTCGTGACCTTTATTGTATTGTGTGGTCAGCATCCTCCCCAAACTGGCAATAGCTGTGTGTGAGAGTGGATCACTGACTGCTGGCTCTGCCTGTGAATCGCATCCCTGTTGCTGTCTGAATCAAGCTCGGAAAAACACATTGAAATGTCGTTGCTGTCACAACAGTCATCATACTGCTGCCATGAGATCACAGGCCAGAAAGATACCATCGTGACATGGTTTAAGAATAAATAAGAACGGGTTTCCCAGGATAGCTGATATTCTGGTGTGATATTGTTCACCGCACTCCCACTCATCTTTCGCCCAGTAAATAAATTACAGCCTCAGAGCTCTTTGTGAATATTAATACAGGAAAGGGGAAGGCATGTTTAGTCCCTATTTCAATCTTAGTGTTGAGAGAAAAAGAACATGGTTGTAAAGAGGGGTAACTCTGTCTCCAGCATTTCACAATTCCTCTTGTGATTCTGGTGAATAATCTTCCCCCCAAACACCCCCCACTCACCACCACCACCTTTTTGGTTGAATATAATGAAATATCCTAAGGATTAATGAGTGACGTCCAATTCATATGATTGATAATCTCATGAGGAATCTTATCAAGCGCCTTCTGAGAAGCCATTTATAAATGACGTCCATAGATTTACCCTCTACCTTGTGTCTTTGCCTTTCTGTCGAAGAATTCTATTAGGTGAGTCAGATGTGGCATGCCTACCTTTCATAAAACCGAGCCTTAAAAACTTTAAGTTCTCAGTTACTCTGTCACTGATGATGGATTCTAGTAATTTTCCCACCACTGGTATTAACCTCAATCACTGAGTCGTGAATCTTTCCAATTGGCACCAATAACTGTGCAAGACAGGCTCTAATGGGCAGGGTGGTTCTGGCTGGACAAGCAGCAGAAGACAAGATGAAAGTCCAGCAGTATCCCCAGTGTACAGTTTTGTTCCCTGGTGGTTTGGCTGTTGACAAGTAGACAGGCGCAGCAGGCAGAGGCCCACTTGATAAGCCAAGCATTGATTTTGTGGCTTTCGCAACGACTAAAACTGGAAGCCCTACAGCACAGTAAAGCTTCTGTGCACAATTGGCTGAAGCGCATCACCCACAAAATACAATCAATTCACTTTACAGGGTCTCCTCTAAAGCTTTTTCAATCGCCGCGATGACGTGATAAGGCGCTATATGAAACGTAAGGATTCTTATTATTCTCCATGAATGCGAAAGAATGATTGGACAGAAACAACGCCTATATTTAATGTGTTTCAGTTTAGGTATGCTCTCGCATTTTCAGTCATATTTGATGTCAGAAAATAATCGGTGTTAACATTCAGAACTGCTCTGAATTGAGTTTTCCAAGTGCACTTTAAAGCAGTTACTTATTTCTTTTGGTGAAAATAAAACACAGCTATAGCATAGTGTTCTCTATTCCACCCACAAAACATACAGTCAATTAACATTACAGTCTCGACGATGTGATGAGGCGCTATATCAAATGCAAGGATTATTATTAGTATTTATTTGCCAGGCTGTGTTGGGCCCTGACTGAAAATTTGCACTTAAAACGGAATCACCTAGAAATCTATTTTGCATAATTTATGAATTTTGCAGTTTTTGAGTGTGTTCCGGGTGTTATTGTCACAGATGGAACGTTTGGCGACTGCTCTGTCTAGAGTACCTCGGGTGTGCTGAGGCCTTTAAGTGCGTCTGGCTTCACACTGCAGTGCTTCAACTCAAAGGCGAGATGAGATGTTCAGTGTTTTTTTTGTTCACTCTTTGTTCCAAAGGTAATAGTTGGCCCCATAAAACCCATCCTCTTCAAGTATCTTTTGAGATTAATTTCTAAATGACTAAAACGTTCAGTGTCTGGGTGCTCTGTAATGAAGGAATGTTTCTTTAATCCTTTGGAAGCTGCGACTTGGAGGGAAAGCAGATATTAAGAATGCTGTTGAAGAACAGGAGCAGAGCCGGTGTTCATTATATAGTCACTTGTGGAAAACATTCATTTTATTTGTCAGGACGAGAGAGAAATAAACCACATCGGACTAATTGTGTCATAAATTATTTTGGCATTCGCAGGAGAGGAATCATTTCAAAACAAACTGTGGAAAAAACTACATTAGTAAAAGCAAAAAAATCCAATTTAATTTCGGCTAGATTTATATTAAAACCGTTTTGTGTATATTAATTGGTGTGTTTTTCTGTCTCTAGGCGTTGTTGTGTGAAGATGGCTGGACGATCAGAGTGTAATTAGTAGATTGTTATTCGATTGGCGGATCGCTTTTTCAGGGATAATAATCCCTTCAAAAAAATAATGATAATTTGGTCACTCAATCCACGACTGTTTGTGGGGACGCTGCTGTGCGCAATTGGCTGCCGTGTTTCACCCACAAAATATATACAGGCAATTAGTTTTACAGTGTATCCTGTGAAGCGCTTTGAGACGTCTCGAAAATGTGATAAGGCGCTGTATTATATCAAATGCAAGGATTATTATTATTATTGATGAATTATTCTGTTTTCTTGTTTAGGAATTTTGCACAATTGGCTGCGGATTCAGACTCAGGCGAGGGGAGCGCTGCCTCACATGTTATGGAGCAGTGGGCTGCGTCTGGACTAATGGAAACCCGCTTAGTAAATTACACAGTGCTCCTGAGCTTGCCTGACGCCAAGCCAAACAGAATCACTCTGACAAACAGCAGCCAGTGCTTTTATCCCAATGGACAGCAATGCAGCCCTCGATCATCAGCCCCACGTGAGGAGAAAGGAAAACGTGACCTTCTCGGTTCCTACGCAGCTTATTCTGCCAACGGATCTCTGGAGGTAATGAAAAGTGTTTGAAACCAATTCTCCCTGTCATTTTCGGGTATTTCATCGGCCGGGGCCGAAATCAGAATTGCTCCAAATATTTTGACAAGGTTATTCGTCCTGCATAGTGAGTAGCCAAGCTCTTTCGCAGTCCAGTCATGTACATCTATCATAAGTCGATCTTTGTAAGATATCCAATTTGTGGTCCCTGGTAACAGTCTAAATAGTATTCATAATTCCTAAAATCCACTTGAAAAATCTACTTAGTGCCAACAAGATAAATGGTATACTTTGGGGCTTAGTTGTAATTCCTTGTGCAAAGAAAGGTGACATTTATCCCCAATTCAGGGATATGTAGGTCAGGGTCCCTTTCCAATGAAATCATGCCCTGCATTTTTGAACCTTCGTAAATGCAAAGGTTGTACCAAAAACTCAGCAACGCACAAAACACTGACATTGCAATGTACAGAGTGTTTGTTTTTAACCGTTCAAGGTAGATAAAACAGGTACACCTCTCCAGGTAAGGGCATTCCCTGTTAATATTGTCGGGTCTCCATCTCACAGTCCCTTCACCTCGTTCCCTCCCTTGCCTCATTCAAAGCACATCTCAAGACCCTCCTTTCCGACCGCACGTTTGGTCACCCTCCTACCCCAACCCTCCCTGCCCTCCTCCCCTCCCTGATCCAACACCCCCTCTCCCCAGCCCCCACCCCAGCTTGGGTTCAAATTCCTGACTGTCCAGCGCTTTGGGATGTTCTCCCAACGTGAAAGGCGCGAAACAAATGTCATTTGTTGTTGTTTTTCTCATGATTAATATAGCGGCCACATTCGGTATTATTGACCGTTCTCACGAGCCAGAAAAAATAGAATTTGGGAGTCTTAAGTGAAGTGGAGTGATTTGTAGCTAACATATCTTGGAAATTAATCAAATAAAAGTGAACAGTTTTTTTTTATTGTAGTGAAATTGTAAAGTATCGGTAGTTTATTTATTTCGCAGTCTTTGAGGAACTCCAAATTACTCCAATTTATTGCTTTTAGATTAATAGAAAACTCGATGACAACATTTTGAAACGTGACGTTTGAGACATTTGAGACTCTGAACATTTTAGAACTGCCAGTAGTTTTTGCTCAGCAGTTTTGTGGAATATAGCTGTGCGCAAATTGGCTGCCTCATCCACCTACAAAATACACAGTCACTACACTTTGCAGTTTACTCTGTGAAGCGCTTTGAGACATTCTCCTAATGTGAAAGGGGACTATATCAAGTAAGGATTATTACTGTTTAGCGGTTGTCATCTGCAGGCGCTGATACCAGACCGTCTATTAACAAAGGATGGAGATGACATAAAGGAGATACTTAGTATGTGGAGCTTCATAGATTCTCTCCTTGCGTAATCGAGTTGGACTGTGAACAATCTTAACAAGTTCACCGCGCGTCTTTCCACAGTTCAGTCAGCGATCCCTCTCCCAATTATTTCGGAGCAATTATTTACAGAGGCTATTTCAATCCCTTTGGTTCTTTTGTGTTCGTTAAGTTCCCATTGTTACCAGTCGTGAACTCAGTTGTTTGCCGCTGCTATAATGTACGTTAATCCTCTTTCTAAACCAGGCATAGTCCATTTCGTCTAGAAGAAGCTGTTTTTTTGTTCCCATTTCAGAGGTCTAAATCCTTTGTTCTAGTTCTCCTTTTCTTCATTCACTAATGATATGTTTGTCATGTGCTAGCAATTTTAAGTCATGTCCCAGATAAAATGTGCCTCCCTTGTGTGTGCTGATTTTGTGCCTGCTCTCACTAACCAGCTTTCGTAAAAGTCTTGCTTTATTCATCTCATTTCCTCCGAAAGTTTAAAAGGACGCTCCCAGTTTGGATTGGGAGCATTAATTTTATCTTTCATAAACACGTCATGATTGGAGCTAGGATTGCAGATGCCTTTCCAACACTGATAGATTTTTATATTATTCAAGTGGGAACAATCCAATTTCCTCTAAATAATGGTGCCCAAGAAAGGCAATTTACTTTCATGCTCTTATTTTACTGTAAAACATTGCCCATGGAAAAAGGAATTGAACGTTTCCAGAAAGATGGATGATAAACTTATTTTGGTCACTGTAAATGAATCATAGATGTATCCTTTATACATTCTTGATCCTTTCTACAAATCAATTAAAATCTCATTCTCCGACTATTCCATTAAAATATTGACTATAAGAGCTGAGATAGGAGATCCTTGGTCATAAAGTCTTTTCTTGTCAGCCAACTTAGTTGTCAAAGGGAACTACTGATTTTATCCTCTCAACACTCAAATCGGTGCCATTTTTGAGTTATTACATAGGCTGAGTAAATATTAAGTTGATCTGATGGCTTCTACTGTATACATGGGGTTTTTTTGGATGGGGACTTAATAATGCTGTTAAATTCATAACTGCCGTTAATTACTTGCCCATTAAAAAAAACAATCCGAATGACAGGAAACGCGTTACTTTCAAAAGACTCGGTGCTTGCAAAAGAAACACGGAGGGATCGACGGATATTTGGTTACATATAAAACACGACCCAATTTGTTTTTAAACGACTTTAAAGAAAATAATTATCGCCTCGTTTCAATTCCTAGCGTGTGTTATGAGACTGTGGTTTAATTTTATCGATATGGTTTCAGAAAAGAGCTGGGGAGCTAACTGGCTGCTTGAGAGCATGGCTGGAGGTCATCGAGATAGCTATAGATTGAAACAAAGTCTTTTCTGAGGAATGTTGACTCTGGGAGGTAATTAAGATATCACATCCCCCGTTTTAGTTGGACCTCTTTTCGCCACGCCTTTGCGCAAATTTTGCTTACTGCAAGCCTGTCAGAGAAGGAATGACGTGCCCGCGATGCAATTGGATATTTGTGCTTTATCCTGTCTTAAAATGGTTCAGTTACTCCTGTAAAAAAGTGCTTGTCCTGTTCAGTGCCTTTGATGGCAGATTGCGCAAATGATTGTTTTCCACAACTGGCCCCTGGATTCTCAGATCAGGATAGCAGAGACTACCTCTTCAGACTTTCAAACATTATCTCTTCAAGTCGATCGTGTCCACTGATACCTTTTTATTTAAGGTCAGGAGTGTTTGTGACCCTCCAATTCACCTCCTCCTCAGTCAGTGTTCATACTGTCAGCGAACGTAGAACTCGCTTTCATCTCTCTCCCAGTCTCAATCCTCAGAGACGGTGTGTGTGTGTGTGTGTGTGTACAGGTGGCTGTTTGTGCATTCATCTCTTCATCTCTTTGTGGTGTTTTTTCTTCTCTAACTTTTACTCTTGACGCTGTATATATTGTAAGATTATTGATTTGCTGTAATTGGATGTCGAACAACACATGGTCACTTGTCAGTGAAGAGCTGACATGTTCGACTCCCAATTGGGTGAAGCTGACTTTTACCCTCAACTGTGATTGATATTCAACCCTTGAGTTTCTTACCTTGTGATGGTGATAATGGATGCTCCTCTTGAAGAGGGAGGAAAGGCTACCTTTAGTGTCTATTCAGAGGAACTCAAACGAACCTGACTGGTCAATAAAGGAGTGGCACTTGTTAGCTTCATAGAGAGATTTTCAGCTTACAAGTCACATTTACCTGCCTTCGAAAACTTTCAAAATACTTGCTTCACAGTGGTTATTATTGAATGTATTGACAGTGTTTATTATTTATAAGTGAATGTGACAGCCAATTTGCGCACAGCCATGTCCCACAAGCAGCTAGTTTGACTGGAGAATTATTGACCAGGAAAACAGGACCTCAGGCTTCCTATTTTCTCGAAAAGGATGACACCTCCAACAGTACAGCCAGTTCTCCTGAAGTGTCAGCCCAAAGATCATGAATCACTGACGCAGAACTTGAATGCATCACCTGATGACCAGGAGGTGAAGTGGTATCAGCTGAAACCAAGCTGACATATTAGTGACTAAAATAGGGAAGAGAGTGAGGGTTTGGCCGAACCTTAGCTTTTACCCCACAAGTTGCTCCTCTGCTCTCTGTTGCACCTCAGGTGCGGGGCTGGTGTGGAAACGGTTGTCAACGTTTCTGATAATAATTTTTCCGCTTGGCCAACTCTGGCCTCCTGCTTGTCGCTCGTCCCCTCGCCTCCACCATCTGAGGCCGTGCCTTCAGCCACTGCACCACGCCCCGAAACTCTGGAGCTCTCTCCCTCTATCCTTCCGCCTTGCCCCATCCCTCCCTCCCCACCTTCAAATCCTGCCTAAAGACCTTCCTTTTTCATCGTGCTTACGGTCACCTCCCCTCGTCCCCTCTCTCCCTGGTTCGGGGTCAGACTCCGCCACTATCAAGTGTACCTGAGGGGCGCTGTGTAAATAAATAAATAATATAAATGCAAGTTGTTGTTGGATAATTGCCATATGGAATGACCCTCTGTGTTTTTTTTCTTCTCATCCTCTCAGTGTCAGGGAGAGCAAGGCTCTTGTTTTGTTTGACTGTGACTTGGAAGTGACTGTAACTAATGAAGACATGTTGTGTAGGTCAGTTCATTTTTAGACGTACTGAACACTGACACCACCTGAGGTTTTTACAGCATTGTTCGGGTCAGAAAACCAAGTGCATAATAATCAAAGTTTATCCAGAATTGTCAGTTCTGGATCATTATAATAATAATAATAATAATAATCCTTGCATTTGATATAGCGCTTTTCGCGTTGGGAGGACGTCCCAAAGCGCTTCACAGAACACACTGTAAAGTGAATTGACTGTATATTTGTGGGCGAACGCGGCAGCCAATTGCGCACAGCAATGTCCCACAAACAGTCGTAGATTGAAAATGACCAATTTATTATTGTTTTGGTTTTGGAGGGATTATTATTAGGGCTCTGTGTGGAGTAAGGAAACTTGCCCAAGGTTTCGCCCTCTGCCTGGAATTGAACTCAGGTCTCTCACTTGCAAAGCGAGTGCTCTAACCACTGAGCTACAGGACTCCATGTATCGAAATACCACGTGTATTATATTTTTTATATATATGTGTGTGTGTATATATGTATATATAATAAATCGAGGTTGCGTTGGTGATGTGGGGGTTGTGGGGGGTCACAGTGCTGATTAGCAAACCAGCTTAGACACAAAGTGTACAGGGAGAGTGAGTTGGTTGTCGATATGGATCAGGTCATGAATTAACCTTTCGCACTTGATTTTAAGGATAAAAAGATGGGGGGTGGCGGGATGGGGAGTAAGGGCACGGGGTGGGGCGTGGTGGCCGTATAGAGAGAGAGGGAGGAGAAGAGGCGGAGGACTAAACGATTGCTGTTGAGATGCTTGTGGATTATTTCTGGCAGCGCTGTATCTGGATGGTTTCAGGTGTTGATTTTTTTTAATTCAGAAGGCTATGTTGGTTGGGTTATTTTTTGAAGTGTTTGCATCGCTTTTCGCAGCACACTGTGTACTGCGCGGCAGTTTGGTTTGGGTCCAGAGCAGAGGGGGATGTTTCCTGACAAGTCTCAGCCCTTGGATTGCTCTCGTGCATCTCCTAGTGGCTTCTTCAAGAGCAGCAGTGATCTCCGTGGCAGGGAACTCCCTCACTCACCATCTGGTCTTGAGCCAGGGATGGGGGGGAAGGGAAGGAAAAGTGTGTGGGGGGGGGGGGGGAGGGACATAAAGGACACTCTCGACCCAAGAGCTTACGAGACCGTCCCTTGTGTGCTCTATTCCAAGTGTCTGTATTGCTGTAGTGTAGTGCGGCTGTGAGTGTTGCTGTAGTGTAGTCAGATTGTGAGTGTTGCTGTAGTGTAGTCAGACTGTGAGTGTTGCTGTAGTGTAGTGCGGCAGCAATTTCTATCACAAATAATCCTCAGAGGTTTTTTTTAAAAATCGAGTCTCGTTGCTTCTCTTATGTTTTTTTGTCTGGAGGAAATCCCTGTCAGGTTTGGCCGTGGGTGGCGAGCCACCGAATGTTGCGCTAATTTGCCGTAGCAATTCACCCTTCAAAACCGCTGTGTGAAAAGCCAATCGCCTGCTTTGGGGGTTGTGTGTTTGCAGTTTGGGACATTCGGAGATTGGGGGAACAGTAACTGCTCTTTATTCAGGGGCTCAGGTGCCGGTTGTACAGTTTTTGTGCAGGGATGGGGTGCGGGGGGGGGGGGGGGGGGGGGGTGGGGGGAGGTTTCACTCCTTTAAGTTCTTTATCTTGAGATCTTTAGTTAGTTTACATCTCGGTAACAGAGCGTGTTTTTTACATTGAAAGGCATTTGTTGGCATTGTCCGCCCTGAAAACATTTTGTCACATCCGTGTAATTAGAATAGCCAAGTGCAAAGCAACTGAGTACATTGTGTTCATTTTATAAAGTTATATTTTATATGGCACTTAGGTCTCAGTGAGGTTTCCCAGCAGCTCGGGACCTCCTCCCGACGTGAAAGACGCTCTACACGTGTAATGTTTTAGTAGTTGTTAGGTTTAACGACAGAGCAAAATTCTGATGCATTGCTATCTGTTGAGCACTCCGAGACCCTGCTCCGTGTGAAAGCGTTTATATATAAATGCAAGTTGTTGTTTATTTGTTTGTTGTTGTTGTGATGGGGAACCATGGCTTCACCACTCGATGTTTGTTCTCTGACAGCAACAAAAACGAATGACATTTGTACAGCACCTTTCAGGTCGCGAGGAGTTTGGACGGCAGCCAAATTAATCTGCGTTTTTGGCAATTTGGTTCAAAAACAGCCTCGTCTCAACAATCCAGGCCCAAGTACTTCACGTCTGCCCACAAAGGACTTCAGCATTCAGGTGCTGGCGCTGTGTGTGTGCTCGTGGAGCATTCTCCCACATCTGACTGATAATTCTGCCTTTATTGTATTAATTACACAGCTCTCTCCTCCCAACGGCTAATTCCTGATGCTGTGTTTTTTTTTAATCACTACAGCTGCGGAGAAAGAATAAATTTCAAAGTCGACATTTACAGTTTCGGACATAATTAGCAGCCTTTTCTTTTCAACCCAGTTCGTGGTTTCGCATTGCTGACTAAATTCAGCGTGATCCGCGTATCACATTTGTATTTTCTTTCAATCAGTGCATAACACGACAGCCCTTGAACAAAACACCTTAACATAGTCAGGAGCTAATATCAGCCATGAATAATTGCTTGGTTTATATAAAAGAGTCTCTGTCTAAATAGTAATATCTTTCATTTCCTTTGCGTTCTGGGCTATGGTACCAGCAGTGTATATCATCCAGTGACAAAAGGGGCTTAAGATCTTCTGGCAGGACTTAATGGCTATTCTTGAGCACTGGATTATGTGGAAAAGCTCCACTTTGAAAGCTGTGGATGAAATAAAAACAGAAATGAAATATCGGATTAATGTTCCAACTTACCATTCATGGTGATAATCTGGAGTGTTCCCTCTTACATTGAAAAAATATCTCTCTTTTTGATTCCACTTTATAATTGTTATCCTTGATTAAATTAAAGCAAAAGGCATTTCAGGTTTAGTCGTGGTTGAAAGTGTTCGTGCAGTGATCAGGGACACTCTTATAACCCACGCAGGATAATGCCAATAGATAAAGTAGGTTATCTATATAGAATTGTTGAATTACATCAGATCTGGGAGAATTTGACCCTGTTAGTCTAATGTCAAGGTCATAAAATGCATCTCTGGTGTATCGACTTACACGCGGACATTTGCTGAACAGATTTGTTGTGAATGCAATTACAGAAATCAAGTGCTCGTATATTACTGTAGAATTTAGAAACAATTACAGGATAAGTACTACTCAGCTTTTCCAGAAGTGGATATTATTAATAAAATAAAGTATTGGTCCAGGTAAGCAGTGTGCTCAGAAGCAAGAAAATAATAATAATAATAATAATAATAATTCTTGCATTTAATACTATTATATATTATTTGACACTGCTGTCCGAAATTGGCTACCACGTTTCGCCCACAAAATACGCAGTCAATTCACTTTACAACAACAACAAAATGACATGTGTAAAGCACCTTTCACCTCGGGAGGAGGTCCCGAGGCTGGACAATCAACGTTTCGGACCCGAGATGGGGTGTCGGGATTGGGGAGGGTGGAGGGCAGGGGGGGGAAGGAGTGATCGAAGCCACGGTTGAAGAGGAGGGTTTTGAGATGGGTCTTGAAGGAGGCAAGGGAGGGGGCGAGTTGAGGGGATATATTAGGTGCAGCCCTTTGAGACGTCTTAACAATGAGATAAGGCACTATAGCAAGAATTATTATTATTACGATGGATGATTTAACACTATCATTTATTTATCTGCATCTGGTTAGTTGTTTGCATTGATGCATTTGAAAGTTTTGCCCGCTTGGTCATTAACAGTTCTCACTGGAACATTAAAAATAATTCATGTTAATAAGCCTTGTTTCCTTTCCAGAATTAAAAGAATGTTTCTTCTCTTTTACAGCACAGCACTTTTCAATGTTTTGTTGCCATCATAACGTAATTGTGTTATCTATCTGACTGTTTGTGGGACACTGCTGTGCGCAATTGGCTGCCGCGTTTCACCAACAAAATATACAGTCAATTCACTTCACAGTATATCCTGTGAAGCGCTTTGAGACGTCTCAAAGACATGATTAGACGCTGTATCGAATGCGAGGATTGCTATATTATTTTATTATTCTGTTGTGTGCTTTTTCAGGCAGAGCTCGTGGATGTACAGTATGGAACAGTTGATGATCTTCTCAACCTTCGTTCAAGTACCAACTTTACCCNAAAAATTGCACTAGTTAAACTTGGACAGGCACCGTTATTATATAAGGTAAAAGGCAATGTAACTGCATACCTCAAATTATTGTATACCTAAGGCAATCTAACTGCATTATTGTATAATGTAAGGCAATTGAACTACATTCCTTACATTATTATACAAGAAAAATTCAGAACGCAAACACTATTTCAGTGAGCGAATAGTGAACCTGTGGAGCAGGTTCCCGAGACAGACGGGTGAAGCAGGAAGTGTTGATTCTTTCAAACACAGATTAGATAGTTTCCTTTTAGGAAATAACATTATGGGATATAGTACTTAGGGAGTTTGGGACAAATGTGCATGTGACCGCCAGGAAGGTGGAAGGTGGAATTTATCTTATATAATAATGTGAGGACTGTAGTTCGATTACCTTGGTCTTTTGTCGTCTAGCATTTCATATCGTCTTATGTAAGGCAATCTAACTGCATTCCTCACATCTCCTACATTTCATTATGTTCTCTGGATGGAAATCCAATCTAAATTTATAGATAATACGGCAATGACCATTTAAATTAGCAAAGGCATAAAGCAGCTGGCATTACTAGAAGGTTTTTATTAAATACTTTTAGTTTCGGAAAAATAATGCCTCGTTTTCTTTCCTCACTAAAGCAATGTTTACAGCAAAATGCTTTCACACCACAAGCTTTAGTTTGGGAATATTAATTCATCATTGGCAGGATGATGTAGTATGAAATATTGTGATGTTTGTAAAGTGTCCAATCCACACAGTTAGTGCAGCATCTCTGTCTTATACAGAGATAAATATTGTTGACATGCTACTGTTAAATGTTTTAACAATGACTTGAATCATTTTGATGGGTTTCTCTATTAATGGATGTCTTTGCCTTGACAAGCTCTGTATTGACATTTCAATTGTGGTATCTCTATATTAATCTTCCCAGGAACACCAATATACCACCATAAAGTTAATGTGTGTATGTTTAGCTGGCACTGCTCTGTATAATATTTATTTTAAAATCACAGCATCTTTACAGTTTGCCTCAGCTCCTAAGAGGTGTCCTCCGAGACAACTTTTATCCTCATTACCCCCTCCCCTTATTATTTCATTATATATATTTTTAAAAAGTCGTCTTTGTTGCAATGTGCATCTTGTTCGATTAAGCTCACGGTTTATTTTAAGCAGAGGCTTGTGTTTGGCCATTCAAAATCAGAAAGGTTAATGCCTTCCTTCAAAATGTAAGCATGCTAATTACTGTGGATTACCCAAAATGTGAACAAAAAGGATAACTCATGACAGGTTATTAGCCTCAGTTGACCTGTGCACTTTATAATAATAATAATAATAATAATTGACCTGTTCGCTTGCACTGCCTTAGCTGAGGAGGAGGAAAAGTGACATTGCCTTTTATTGTCAGGATGTGAAAGGTTCCAACTCAACCAGTTGTCTTTGTTCAATGCGAATCATGTTTGATTAACCTTCGGGTTTATTTTGGGGGGGTTTTGTTCTGTCCAATATGACACACTCAGTACATTTAAAGTTCAGGTCTTTTTTTTTACACTTGCAAAATAATGAAAGGGCAGCAGATGAAAAGTTCAGTGAAACTCATTTCTGGCTCGACAGAAAAGCCGACGTCCAATATTCGATCCCAATGAGTTTGTGTTTATCTTGGTGACGGTTCACATTTGCTCACGCTATTGCTGACAACTCTTGATATTGAGTGACCTGGTTATTTTTAGGCATTTGACGACTGGTTAAGGAATTCATATATTCCAGTCTCTCTGGATGGGATTGTAAATGGGGAAGATAATCAATATCCAGGGCGACACATCCCGGAGAGGGATTTGGTCACATTCCCCTAAGATAAACTAAGAGAAGTGCACCAATTTTCCGGTATGCAGTGGAACTCCCTCATCTCCGACTGTTGAAACGTGTAGATGTATATTTCACTGATCTGAGATGTTCAGGGGCAATGATTTTTCCATAAAGCTACGCGTGGTCTTGTTTTATTATTTTTGAATGCCTTGTTGTGCTCATTAAGATAAGGATGTGTACTGAAAGAAACGGAATCGTTTTCACTTTAAACATGCCACGTCAGCTCCAAAGTCAGCCAACAATCAGGCAAATTCAGAATAAAGCCTTTTCTGCTCTGCCCCAACCAATGGGCCTTGGCTCCGAACTTTAGAAGAAGCCAACTGCTTATTGCACTGAAATTAGTTGCGTTGCCAATGAAGCCAGTGTTGTCGGCATTGATAAGGTGCTATATCAAATGTAAGGAATATAATTATTAATTACATTAAAAATATAACCATCGATCGATATCTTATTAGTATACTTTTCAAGAGGGAATCCTTCATCACAAATATTATCTTTAGTGTTTAATAAGCATAAATGTAGTTTTAATTAAGCATATTTTACTACAGTGAAGCAATTGGTATTTAAAAATGGGCTTCATTGTTCTGTGGTTTAGGACAGTCACTGTATAGAATGATGTACCATATGCTTCTTAGCATCGATGAAGCTACTCATTAATAACTACATCCACTTAGACTCTGGGACTAAATTCACCAGCAACTGTAATGTTTTGTGTGTGGGGGAAACACCACAGCAGCCAAACTGTTAGAGATGATGGTGCTTTTTGATGCATAAACATCTGAAACAATGAACCCATTTATACGTTGTGGTCAATATTTTGGTGCTAAATCATTGTTCAAAATATTTTTCTCCAGTCTGTTTTACTTTTTTGCTTATGCACTGTTGACACATACCAGGATCTGGAGATAATTAAGAGCAAAACCACTCAATGGAATGGTCTTGAAAAGAACAGCTGCTTTATTTGTAAATGGCAGAATTGGAATTATTTTTTCTGAGGCTTATTAGCCGGCTGTGAGCTGACTCAGGAATAGACATCTCGGAAGCAGCCAGAAATTTAATTTGCACCTGACAATAATGACTGTGTTCCAACAAATAAAAACAAGCCAAGGTAAATGTTGGGTTCAAGTGGCTTTCTGTTATTCAAGAGGCAAATTATTTGCTAATATTGAGTTGGGCTTATTTCTAGCTTTTGGGATAAAAAAAGGTAGATTATCAGAATGCTCTGCTAAAGCAATGCCTTTTGAAGGTTTTTCTCAGTTATTATTATTAACAATAATTCATTCATTATTATTAATATTAATAATCCTTGATGTGATGCAGCACCTTTCACATTGGGAGGATGTCTCAACCCACTTCACAGGTAAGTTTTACTGGAAAGCCTTCCAACTGCTGTAGGCAAACGGGCAACGATCTGTAGACAGCAAATTGTTTACAAATAAACTATATATTTTTTGCTGTTTGTAGTTTTGGTGTCAAAAATGTGAAACAGTGTAAGAAAAAGATGCAGTGTGTAATCTAGTCAGCGTGGTTTTCAAGTCTGCCACCATCAGCCCAGGACATTTTTTATCAGGCCAGACAGTACGACTTATTACGGCGGACATGCTGGTGCAAATAAATAATATGAGGATCTTAAACATTCCATTCAATGTGTCGTAGTCACATCATGCATCACTGTCAGTTTTGAAGAATTTCAGCGTTCTTTATTGAATCGTAAGGGTTCATTAATTTTGTGAAAAACGTAGGGTTTTAGAATTAACTACCAATCAAGAAAGATTATATATGTTGTGATTGAGTATCTTTGGGAGGTGTGTGCGTGTGTGTGGTGGGGCGGGGGAGAAATATCATCATAAAAATGCCACCTTTTGATGACTGCCAGCGTTTCCAGTGTGTAGTAAGCCAAGCAAAATGCCCGTTGAGAATTTTTCAAAAAAAGTTTATGGCAATAATGCTTGGAATATTGAATTGATCCCAGTCATGAATTGATCTCAGCTGTGCAAGCGTCGAGGATTTCTGCAGTAAATCATGACGACTTTCCTGCATGAGTTTTTTCCTAGGTCCTTTGCACAAATCAATTTTCACGCTGCATATCCTAGCCCAATGAGTTCACTCCTTCCATACACCATGTACGATCTGTCATGGACTCTACCCCATCTATTTAATGTGCTGATGAGAAGCTTTGCATAAATAGTCCCTCTTTCCCAAAGGTAACATACTTGATTGAAAATATCAGGTCTTTTTATTAGAGTTCCACTGCCATGAATAAACCAAGTAGTGGTATCCCGAAGCTTGCAAATGTTTTAAAACTCTGTGTGCCTGTAGTTAGCGATCATTCCAGGGTGTGTGTTTCTCGTAGATAAAAGACGTGAAACATTCAGCAAATCCTACTCCCTTGCAAGTAATATTTGTGCTCAGCTTTTACTGAAATGTGTGTAATTGAAGAGTGCGTCTGGAATTACAAAAAGGCAATTACGGGGATATTCAATGGTCTTTGGGGTTTCTAAGGATATCTGCTGTTGCTGAGTGTACTGTAGTTGATTTAGAACGTGTTTGTGTGTGTGTCTGATTGCTCTGTCACCATTTGCTTCACATAATGCAATCATGATGACCAAAATTGACGGCACTTGTGATTAAATGGGCAGCAAGTGATCAGAGGCAGAGTTTCATACATAAGATTTAGCACCATAATCAATAGTTCAACTGTTTAGCTTGACTAAAAAAAAGAACATGTTTCTGAGGCCATATAATCTGATTATGTTCACAATTATGTTTGCAGTTGTCTTTATTGCTGGAGGCTGGTTTTGGAGGAGCTTTGGTCTACGTTGATCCCTGTGATTCACCCCAAAACATGAACACCAGTCACGAAACATTTTGGATTTCATTGAACCCTGGAGGAGATCCATCCACACAAGGATACCCTAGCATTGGTGAGTTGATGAGGGGCTGGTGGGGTTGGGGAGGACAGTTGCTAAAAGAAAACATAACGTTTTTAACATTGTGCTATTAATGGTATTTTACCCCTGTGGTAAAGGACTAATATATATACTATATGATCTAGTGATAATATTTATAATTATCTAGTAATAATGACTTCTTCCAATTTCCATGCACGACATCAATCTCAAATATCCCGAGGCGTGGAACGTGACCTAGTTTTATCTGTTTTCAGATTTCACATGATACAAATTTATGGCAAATTCTTACATTCACTTTAATTTGAGAGCCAGTTTTCTAGAGTTGTTAATTACAACAAATGGCAGGTAAATAAATGGCTTCAAAATTAAGACTAAATTGACAAATTTGCTGAAATCTTGCATGATCTGAAATTTTAGATCTTCAGATTAAATTCATTTGGAATTTCAGATCCCTAAGTTTGGCAAGTAGGGTCTAGAATTTGCTGGGTAGTTTAACAACCCATATGCAAAATTGCTGGTTGAATTAACCGTGTGGAAATGCTCATGACTCGTGCAATTAATCACCTGCGGTACTATTTCCATTGGTTAATTACATAATTAAAGGCAGTTTGTAATCTCTTTGTATTGACTTGGCTAATCGAGTCTGCACATTCTGCGCATTGGTTGGGTCCAAACGACAAATTGTTTCCTATAAATATCAAGCAACTCTTCTTCCTTTGTGTTACAGTGATGTGCCTTTGTATCAGCCTGAGATTTCAAAATCTTATATATATATATATACTTATATATATATTTCCAAAGTCCACTGCAGCCTCTGGGAATATGAGTGTCATTGTGCCAGTCACTGCAATGCTATTGTTTGTGCTGTGTCCTTGGGCACAAGAGCAACTTGATTAAACTCTCCAAAGTCACCTCACTTCATTTAGGATCGAGCGAGCCATCATTTGACATTGTTTTATCCTATTGTTTTGAATCCTGTTCCGAGCAGTGAGAGGCCAATGAATCACACAGTTGTCCTGTCCTGAATGTATTCAGATGCAGCAGTTCTCTTCACCTACACAATATACTATGGAATATGACTTCAGGGGGAGAGGGAGGGGGGGAGGGAGGGAGGAAGGGGCAAGTTTTCAAACCAAAAAAGTACAGTACAGGTGTGAGCTTGCTTCAGTGGATTTTCAACAAATGTGAGAAACATCCCTATAGTTTGCTGAGAATCCATTAAAAGTTCCTTCTGTCCTGACTGAAGGGCGCCATGAAAAGTGCAAGTTTTTGCTGTTGCTTTAATATCGTACGATATTTTGTCTGTGCCCTCAACTGCTGTATATTTTCAAGTGAATAATATGCGCTTGAAACAGATCTGTCACAGAACCATAAGCCCATGGCAGCATTGCACATTTTCTTTGCTTTTCAAATACCTCAAAAAGCTTAGGCCTTCGTTCTAGCACATTATGCAAATTGTCCAGTGCATCTGGTTTCAGTTGTATGAAAGGTTGACGGGTTATATTTGACCCTCCTCATTGAGTGGTGGTTGTGTGTTTACTGAAATGCAGTGAAAGTACGTTTACTTCTTTGTAATGTTTCTGGCAAGGGAGCTTCTCATCCATACAATTCCCTTCTTCCCTTTGCCCACACACACAATGCCCTTCTCCCTGAGCACAAAAATCTTTATGAACCACACTCCTCGTGTAGATTCAAACTAAATCCAATTGCAATCCAGCAACACCTTGAACATTGTGTGACTACAAGAGGGCGATTGAGACTTTGTGCAGTTTAGCTGAAACTCAGCTAAATTGAAACCGAGGTGTAACTTGCCTTAAATAATGAACAACGGCAAATGGTTCCTCATTCGATTTGGCATTTTGGGCCGTGCTGTGTAATTCCGGTACCAATGCAGTGCTGTTTTCTGTGTGTGTATGTGTGCGTGTGTGTGTGCGCGCGTCTGTGTGTGTGTGTGTGTGTGGGTGTGCGTGCGTGTGTGTGCGTGGGTGCGCGTGTGTGTGTATAAATGTGTTAACACAAGTGCATCTAATTTGTTTCTCCCCTCGGCTGATCTGATGACACACAGATCATGTTTGTAGAGCTCTGCACAGGCTCATTCTTTCCCTTTAGCTGCCAACATTTCGGATAATCTTTTCCGTGGTGGTGCCTTTTAAGCAACCCTCACCTTAGAGCATTTTAATATTTTTTTTTGCAAAACGATATAGTTTTGATTCTTTTGGAGCTGATCTTTTGGAATCAAATAAAGCTCTCAAATAACCTCAGACTCCAGAGGATTTGATGGTACTTACAGCCTTCAATTTTTGCTGTGTGTCACTATAATATTTCATATAATCCTAAACTATACTACTTGAGAGAATGGGAAGATAATCAGGATTCCTAGAGAGGGTCGGCCCCTTTGAATTCGCTTGTGAATCTTCCTCAGAGGAGTTGTATGACCACAATTTTATGACAATCAAACCCTGAATCCTAACTGGTGATAGCACGCCACAGCAATTTGCCAGATAAGCTGTAATCACCATTTGAGTTTTGTATTGCAGCTGCTTCACACCGTGAAATACTTTACTTTTGTGGGGTTTAAGCCTTTGTTTATGTCGAGGGACGGTATCTCTTGTTTACCTAGCAGTAAGTAGGAACCCGGTTGTTAGTCGATTGGCCGATCGCTTTTCCCGGGGGTAATAATCCCTTAAAAAATAATAATAATAATAATAATCCACGACTGTTTGTGGGTCGCTGCTGTGCACAATTGGCTGCTGCGTTTCACCCGCAAAATGTACAGTCAATTCAGTTAACAGTGTACTCAATGAAGCGCTTTGTGACGTCTCAAAGATGCGATAAGGTGCGGTATCAAACGCAAGGATTATTATTATTATTATCCCTGCAGTCATTGTTATGTATGTGTGTAATGCATTCATACCCTCGAGTCCATCCAAATTGCTTCATTCTCTGGAGCAAAATTGCCTTGGCAAACAAAGCTATAATGAGCTTAGTTGTCAGTCATTCCAATAAATGTGAAAGGTATGGGTTTTTGCACAGTATATCAAGCCTTCAGCATTCCTAATGTTCTCCATTTAACTGCACTCAAAGCAGATGGGTTTGCCTGTGTGGACGGCTAGTTCATGATATAGTGGTGTTCTTGTAACAGTTAAAGTCACTCCTACAGAGCATTATGTACACTCATTTAATAAATGACTTACTCTTCGTGCCTTCATTGTTGCAACATTTCAAGTAATTTAACCACGATTACTTTACTTTCTGTTTCCAGCTCTGTTTGGTATTATTTTTTAACCTTAGCACTGTAGCCTTCTTTTCCAGTATTTTGTTATTGACTCTCTCTCTCACACACACACACACACACACCCCTCGTACAGGATTCAACTTCCCTGCTAGTTAAAGAGGTTGATTTACATTTCTGCTTTGGCAAGCAATAGGTAAAACAAAGTCCAGTTTGCAATTAACATCCACGTGTTTAACTTACCTTATTCAGACCTTTGTTTTTTGTTTCCTAAACTTTTGAACATTTGCTGACTTGTTGCCCGAAACCGTTCTTTCGCCCACAAAAATACACAGTCACTACACTTTACAGTATATTCTGTGAAGCGCTTTGAGATGTCTCGAAGACGTGATGAGGCGCTATATCAAATGTAAGGATTATTATTATTTTTCTTCACTTCATTGGCAAGCTCCTCACCTGTTTCCAAAAAGTGTAATTTTATGTTAATTTTGACATTAACTTCTCAGGTTAAAGACAGTTGTTTTACAACCACTTCTGCGGTAATGCACAATTTCAAAGTATGTTGAATGGGGTTTAACCGAAAAAGCCCTGCATTGCCTTTTGTAGATAAAGCGCTGTAGATTTCATTAGACTACAATTCATTGCATTTGTGTTGTGGGAAATATGTTATGATTCAAACTAATTTTGCCACATTGTAAGGAGTCTCCAATATTCTGCTCCTGCTCCTATCCATATCGTTTTAGCTGCTGCAGCATGCAAGTGTCAACCAGACTATATCTCTGTCCCTCGTGTGAAGGAGATTAAGTGGTGAGTAAACCTTGTTGCTGGATTATTAACTAAGCAGCGGGCAATACTGGTTGTGACGTACCTGTTGGTAGCTAAGTTTTTCGGTGGGATTTCAGCAACCACCTGGGTCAAGTTTACAAGACAGTTATCCTGGTACCAGGTGCACTTTGTCGACAAGCCGCCTTAAGTGTGTGCTTCTTGAGTGAAATCCTCCAAATGTTCTACAAAAACATCCGGTGCAGATTTGCTCGAGGTCATCCAGGCTTCATCCCCCGACTGTGCCCGATGGAGGGTAGATTAATGAACGAGTCTGTGAATTGGGAAGAAAGATGTCTCATGGGTAAAGGCAGCGTAAACCATCGGATACATGGAGGGAATCACTGCAGACTTCAATGAAAGCTGCTGCGGGTTTCTTTCTTTGAGTTTCAATCCTGCCAGTTCCTGGCGAGCCTTGCTGGCAGATGGAATGGCTCATCAGATAGCAGCTAAGAGATAAATTAGGAATTTAAAGCGTATTAGCGCAGAGATTATCGAAAATATTTGATTCGATTGGATGCTGAAAGAGCACTCATTCCTGAAGAAAATCCATATTATTGGACAATATTTTGAATTTCAAAAAGCCTTTTTGTTTCTTAAGTAAAACAACGTAATAATAATAATCCTTGCATTTGATACAGTGCCTTATCACAACTTCCAGGCGTCTTAAAGCGCTTCGTAGGATATACTGTAAAGTGAATTGACTGTATTTTGTGGGCGAAATGTGGCAGCCAATTGCGCACAACAGCGTCATACAAACAGTCGTGGATTGAGTGACCAAATTATTATTTTTTTTTTTTGGAGGGTTTATTACCCATGGAAAAGCAGTCCGTTAATCAACTAACAACTGGATTCCTACTTACTGCTCGGTAAACAGAGGCGTGCGGAGTGTGGAAACTCGCCCAACATTTCTCCCTGCCCAGGAATTGAACCCGGTCCTCTCGCTTGCGAGGCGAGT